GCCGCACTCAAACGACAGGCTCTGCTGAGCGCCCAGTTAGACCGGGTACACCCCAACGACGTAGATGGCATGGTGCACGCTACGCACCGGGTTTGCTCCATGATCGACTGCCCACGCCTACTTGGCAGCGGCGGGGGTCCCTGCGCGTACTGCAAGCTGCTCCTCTGCCCACAACACCGACCGCCGTACTCAGGCCATGACTGTAAACTGGCTCCACCACCGCCGCCTGAACCGGAGCCTGTAAACGGCAAAGTTAGCATGGCCTGCGGCGAGAACTACGAAGAGCGTAGGCTGGCTCTGCGCTCACGCCTTCGGGATAAGTTAAAAACGCTGGCCGACAAGCGGCAACGGTAGTTAGCAGTATGCAAAGGCCTACCATTTTGTCTTCCGCGACGGAGAGGCTTTTGTCCAGCAATCGGCCCCTCAATGTGTCTTAGTTTTTTTAACTTTACTTTTACACTTACGGTTCACACACCCTTTTTTCACATGTCTTCCATCCTTTCATACTTTTTCACGCAGGTTCTGCATTAAAACCTTGGTTCATGTTATCATCTTTTGTATTCAATGCTTGAAGTATCCACGTATCTTCGGGAATAACTCGGAATTCGATCGTTTATCCAATTATTATGCCTCGTTAAAACATAGCTGCAGGGAACACCGACATTATTGATAACATTTTGTTGAGTCCAAGTCTAGGGGTAGTAAATAATGCGAGTGAAATTGAAAACACCTTCAGAAATTTGGCAACAGTAGTTTATGTAGTGCACCTCATTAATCCCTAGTCCCAGCATTTATCCTACGAAAACGGTGGTTATGGAGTTTTATGGTTGGGGAATTAGAATAGACAGTACAATATACTTTAATAACTGCTATATTCATTTTTATTTTATTTTATTTAGAAAGGTTGTTGATTTGTAACTGTAGATTTTCCTAATCTGTATTATCGTTTAACGTATTGCGGAAGAACCCGATTATCAAAATGCAGGTTTCGTAAAATTCCTGAGAAATAGAAATAGTGGTTAGGAGGTCGGCTACTTCAACTTACTTGAGGTCCAACTTACCGTTCTCAAGTTAGATTGGCACAGTCCGTGGCGCGAAGCGCCGCGCACACCTTCAATTTACATGTGGACCAACTTACACCCAGCGGCCGCGGGAAACAAATTTGACTACATTTTTTCACTTTACATCTCTAGAAATTTGCTTCCCTGTCTATCCTATTTCCCCACCCCCCGAAAACCTGATAACCACCGTTTCCGTAGGACAAAATGCTGGGACTAGGGGTATATGAGGTGCACTACATAAACTACTTTTGCCAGAAATTTAAACGAGTTTTCTTATGACGACTGGTGTTTAGCGCATTTACAAAACATTTATTCCCAAAGAAATCGATCGATGATTTTGTGCCAACTGAAAATGCGGAAGAAAGCCAGGGGCTCGAGCGCATTGTCCGATGTCCGCACTCATCTGATTACATACTACTTACGGGCCTACCATTGCGGCATTCCGACGGGTATTAAAATAGTCATGATGAGGCAGAGTTTGTGACCAGTTGACTGATTTGGCCCTCTATTTAGTAACTGAAACTTCACATACGTCTTTATTTGACCAAACAGAAGGATTGGTGCTGACAAGACTGACACTTAGTTTTCCAAGGCACTCTTCACCATTCATCATTACGACTTCACGGACCTTAACTAGCCAGAGCCGACGGTTTTCCTCCTTTTCCTCCTGCTCCTTCTCATCTTCTTCTACTTCCTCTTCTTCTCTTATCCAATACGTCTCCTGTTTTCCTCGTTATTTTTCCCTTCTAGATCTCTGTACAATTTATTTTAGTTTTTTCGTTTCACTCTTTTGACCGTCTGCTACTTAAACAGGCCGTTTAAGTCCAAGTTTATCAGAATGTTCGTGCGACGGAACATAGGACGATGTCGGAGCTGTACTGTTATCCAGCAATATTGCGAATCTCCACTTCATGGTAGTAGGCGGGTAGATGATAGCACTACTCAGTGTCGCGCCTCTCCAAGGAAACGATGCTGGTGCATGCGAATGAGGAACAATGTCAGGGAGATTTTTTAAATCACGAAATGCGCTTGATTTTTTCATGGTATATGTTCAAGTGTCCCTAAATGCGGGTAGTGTTAGTTCCACAATCAGGAGCACTAGTTTCTGACATCAGCCGCTTGTCGGTGTGGATGGAGGGGTTGTGGGTTAGGTATTCACTCTTTCGTATTTCAAACCACAGGAAGGGCTAGAAAGAAGCGAATTTATTTACAAAGTACCAACGCTTCGTCGAAAGCATAGAATAATTTGTTCTGTATCTGCTGTCTGCGGTGAGCCATACCCAAAACCGGATGGGATAGGTTTATTATTTAATCTCTGAACGACAGGTTTGCCATCTAGTGCACTGGCCCCGGGTTATGGGTCTGCGCCTTGTATGTTTCACTCAGCAACTAGGTGAGATGGCAGTTTGTGACTGTGTTTAGTTCGGGCTCACAGCCAGCTACCCTCTTTAACCGGGAGCTCTCTCAATTGTCCAACCTAGTTAACTTTGCACTGCAAACTCACCTACGCAGAAACATCGCACAGAAGTACTTATATGACTCCGGTGATGCTGAATAACTGACAGTCCTCGTAGCTCGCGAACATCGGGTATAAGTCCAAACTGGTACTTAAGACGGCTCTAAGTACAAGTGAGAGGCGAATTTGTGTCAATTAGGACACTCTAGGTTGCTTTTGTTTATTTCCGGCTCTTAAAATCGTTCGTTTTCTTGGAGTCTCATTTTCTGGGCTTTTGCCAAGGACCTACTCTACTGTCCAACCAAAGTCTTAATATAATCTGTCATTGTACGCACCCCGTACGCCCGGAAGAATTAGAAAGTCGTCTAAGATTTACAAAAGCAAGCATTTTAAAGCAATTTAGTTTAAACAATTTAATGGGGGAACTAAAACGGAAAATAAAATTGTTTGAAAAGCCAATGTAATGACGTGGGCTTCTTGACAGGAAGGATTGAGACCAGCAGTTCGGGAAGTGACTCGTGCGGACCGAACTGTCAGCGACTGCAGAAAGAAGTTGTGTGATACCAATCGATTGAAGGTTCAAGGCAGAGCCGATCTGAATGTCAATGTTGAATGAGTTTTTATGAAGGAAAATAAAAAGCGTTGTCTCTAGAAATTTTCGCTGTACATGCTTTTCTGTCCATGCCTTCATCTCATTAACAGGTTCGCGCGCGCACTTTCAGCCCCGTGAACGACTTGAGACGCGTGATTGTTTGGATGGACCGCTTTCAAGGTTGCTCAGGGCCCTGCTGTTTGCTGCTCCCGACATTGTGTTGATGTCCACACCGATTTCCGTGTCGTGGGCCCATTCACCGACCAACTTACATTGGTCCGGTTTCTTGACACTGAGATGGCGGCCAGGTGCCATGTCGTTTGTCCATGTGTCCCAAGGCACAATGATCTGTTTCGGTGGAACTAAGAGTTTTGGTTTGTCGCTGGGATTGTTGGGATACCAAATGAGAGACTGGGCGGCATTACAGTGAGGTGGGCTGAGGGCCGAGAGTGGTAAAGGATGGTTGCTGTCTAGAATGACTGGTTGCTCCTCTTGAGTGTCGTAGATGCGTTGAAGACGTTTCCCGATCGGCTGCGTAGGATCAAAAGTCATATGCAGGTTGTAGCGCCACCGCATTGTCTTGAGGATGTAAATTTCATCGTTTTTAGCGTTGAAAACATCGCTGGTAGCTGATCGTGAGCTAGCACGTTTAATAGCCACCAGCCACACCCAAAAGTCCTGCTTTCGAATTACGTCTGTAAGTTTGGCTCCTCCATAATAGGGGAGTTCCCATGCCACAGTTGGGTAGAAATGATCTTCATATGTCAGAGATATTAAGCTGTCGGAAATGACGCCTCGCCGCACCTCAAATTTACTGCTGGTCAAGCTGTAAAAGGGGTATTGACGACCGTCACTGTCATTAACCATTTTGTGTCGCCCACTCTTCAGGGGATGAAATTCCCAGAACGAGCTTCCACTTTGTCCGTAACGATTCTCCAAGTACATTCGGTCACAGGCCTGCACCAGGCCAATGCTCCAACATCGGTCCGCAATACACTCCGGAAGCTCCAACTGTACCTTGCATCGGAAGTGTTGGCTCTCGTATTTTAGCAGGTTGGCCATTTCTGTCGTGTTTGTGGCTGTTTTGCTGTCATAGTAGGCCCTAACAGACAGCACATTAATGTCTTCCGGAGATAATTTGGACATGGTGGAGCCTGGGGAAGGAAAATAAAATACGAGACACCTCCGACTGTCACGGCCCCAGCCGCATAAGCTGTTGATGATCGATTGCTTCAAATTTACTCCTCGATCGATTCCTGCAGACGGTTTGTGGTGTGCAACGTACGCGTGACATGGCACGCCTCTCGCGAATCTGAATCCCGGACGTTAGAAAATGGACATTTTTCGTCAAAACGCGAAGTCTTTGTACAGAAAAATATTAGTAAGAAGTGTAACTGACAGAGATAAATAACTCAGAATTTAGATAACCAAGGAATCGTTAGTGAATTGCCATAGTGCACTTTTGATAATACATCGAAATCATCAGTAATGCACTGGAAAACACTTTTACGCGTTTGAGGCGCAGTCGTACAAATTATTTGTAGGTTAGTTTGATTAAGATGAATAAAACTGAGCTTAGGCCCCAGAAAGAAATGAATGCACTGGTAGGCATTGTCCAGATTGGATCTTCATTAAGGCTCACTGCTTAAGGAAGCGTGCTCAGTCCCTCTATCGTGCCAATATTTCCGAAAGATACATGTTGAAAGACTTCCTGGCTAGGTTTCACACGCTACGGAAAAATACTGATCGTCATTAAAATGACGTTACAGAAGCGCACACTCTGTAAGTGCGACACTGGAGACTTATCGAAGTACAAAAGCTTTGTGGCTGACCTCTGTCAACCGATTAATGATTGAGACTATTTACTGGTAGACAGCTGCAGTTATGGGCCAAAAAACCCTCAAGAAGTGGGAGGGACTGTCAGACAAACTTTCGCAAACGAAACATAGCCAAACCTCGATTTGACAGCTTCCTCGAGTGATTATGAAGTTGATTGTTTGGTTTTCCAGTCATTGGATTTCGGGTATATCACTTTTTTAAAAAGGAATTTTGAAATGTTTTCCCCAAGTTATTTTGGATAGAATAACTCCTCCAGAACCTTGGATATATATGCGGTTTATCTTGGAATAAGGCAAAAAAGTATTCGAAGGCTCCTGCATTATTGGAAGATTTAGGTTCTCTTTTCCAACCTGTACTTTGATCCTAGATTCAATTTATCAGCAAAGTCTTCAGATATTTTTCTAAA